CCTGTGACAAGACCACCACTGCTCTTGTCCCCCAATCGCTGGTGGCCTCGCCGTGCCAGGCTTTCCACCCACCTGGACTCTACCTCCGGTCTGCGGCAGTCACCAGCATCAGCGACACGGGCGCGGCCGTGGTGGCCGTGAGAGCGCTGGATGCGGGGTCGGATGATCCGAGGGGGCTTCGGGGCAGCGCTCCCGCACGGTCACCTTTGTCCTCGGCTCCCACCGCCCCGGCCCGGCCCGGCCCCGCGGGCGGAGCGCTGCTCCCGCCCGCCTCCGCCACCGCCCATCCCCGCGGCCGCGGCCGGGAGAGAGGGAGGAGCTGGAAAAGCGCTCCGGAGCTCGGCCCCGGGACCGGGAACTCCTGGATCGGCCCAAAACCAGCGGCAGGTCACGGCTCCGGGTACCGGCAGTGAGGACCAGGCAGCACCGGGGAGAGCGAGGGGGAATGGAGGAGAGATGGGGGCACGCATTGGAGGGTGCAGAGGATATGAACATCCCGGGATGAATGTATGGATTGTGTATGTACACAGGGATGTGCACGTGTGTGGGAAACTCAGGAGTTTCTGCACAACGTTGCATTTTTGATCACATTTTGGAGGCAAAGAACTGGGATTCTTGGAGCATCTGGCAGGGAACGGGCAGAGGTTGGTGGATGAGATGGATGACACAAGCCCTACAAGGAGGGTCGGTGGCAGGACATGGACTGGTCCTGTGTGGGTGAGGGATGCTGCAGGGGACCAGGCTGCAAATCCTGTCTGCTCTCCTGACCTTCCAGCCGTATCCTTGGGCCACAGCCAAATGTGGAGTGGTCTCAGTGCAGAGGAACAGAAGAAGCTGAATGGGGACAAGCCTTCAGTCTGACTTCTGTTCTTGGTTGGCCTTCCAGGCTCACAGGACCACCTTGGCAGTGTTGCTGTCCTCACCACGTCCCAGTAGATACCGGAGTCAAGGATTTGCTCTCCTTATCACTGTCCCTTTCCTCCAGTTTCTTCATCCCCTTGCTCTGCTCCACAGCCATGTGTACATTTTAGCAATCGGCATTGGCAACAATTTTGCAGCTCCCCATCTCGGAAATCCCGCTGTTGCTGACCTCTGCCACAGGTTGTAGTCCACTCCCCACCTATAGATGCCCCCATTTCCCTGCACAGCTGCTCAGGACTTTGCAATTTTCTGCTTGTGTCAGAGGTTTTCAGTTCACCGAGGGTTTTCCCTGTCACCTGCAGACTTTCACTTTCAGGCTATAAAAATGGATTCAAACCAGCAATAAAACCATCTGGGTTTATCTTCCCTCCTGAGCACAGAAGCTTGTTCAAGGTCGCTGCTGGGAAGTCTCAGGACTCTGCACCACTTATCTCCCTGCCTTGCTGAGAGATGCCTTTTCACAAGGCAAGATTAGAACAGGAAGGGCCGTGGGGAGAAGCAATATCTTTATTAGAGCAGCTAGGGTAATTGGAAAAAGGCATCAGTGCTCCCAGCTCTGCTTTCCTTTCCTGGGACTCCAAAGCCACGTTTTCATTTTGCAGAGGTTGTTCTTCCTCCACAACTGCTCTGGAAAATCACCATGATTCCTCAAAAACACTGACAAAATTCCCTTGTGGATTTTTGCTTCCCATTGGGTCTCTCTTGGGGCAGTCCAGTCGCGAGTTGTTGCACAAGCTCCAGGACTTCCCCTTCTGAGTAGCTCTAGATTTTCCCTGTTGTCCCCCAGCATCTCCCCAGCAAGGAGCCCAGACTCCGTGCCTCAGTTTCCCCTGAGAAGTTTTGGTGGGAAAGATGGGAAAATGAACTCCCGTGTTGAGCTTGCCCAGCAGCAGGGGAAAGGGAGAAGAAAAAGGTCTGAAAGGAGGCGGGGGGGTGCCAGGAGCATTTCTGGATGTGGGATGACCTTGGCCTCCTCTTCCTGCTGCTCTCATGACCGGTGACTTGATGTGATTACACAGCGGCGGGTGCTGGCCGGCTCAGCGAGGTGAGCGGGAGCTCTGAGTCACCCCCAGTGCCGGGAATTTTGGGGTGCTGGAGTACCGGGGGGTCTCGGATACTCAGCGCTGTGCGGGTCCCTGGGAGGAGAACTGCGAGTCTCCACAGCGACCGGCAGAGAATCATCCCCCAAGAACCCAAATGGATCCCAGGCTGTGCCTTGGAGTTCAAAGTGAACAAGTCCTGACTGTCACAGAAACTCGGGCTCGGCACTGCCGGCGCCTCTCGGGGTGCGGGACCTGCCGCGCTCCGCTCCCACTCGGGGTTCCCCGAGCATCGGGGCATCGGGGCGCGCTGCTCGGGATCCCCCAGCCCGCTCCAGGGCAGGCGGAGCCGGCGGGGAAGGGCCGGAGGCGGCGGCTGCAGCGCGGGCAAGGGCCGGGAGAGGGCGGCGGGAGCCCGGCCACGGCGCCCGGAGCGCTGCGGGGCTCGGCGGGACAGCCAGGATCCGTCACTGCCTCCATCCCGCTCCATCAGCACCCTGCCCATCGCCACCCTCTCCATAACCAACCCAATCATCCCTAAATCACCACCTCCATTACCACCTCCATCCCCATCCGACCCTCGGAAGGAGCACGTGAAAGCCAGGCTAAGATTTTGGGGGGGGTATTTTCCAGCTCAGCACAGATCCTCACAGCCAAACATTTCCAGACGTCGTCACCCCCAGGCCCCCTCGGGGCAGGTTGGGACGGACATTACCTCAGTGTGAGATGGTAGAAATCACCTGAAACCCATTACATCCCACCTTGAGAAACGTAAATGGGCCATTTCCAAACCACCCCACCCATCCTGAAAACAGAATGGGCCATAGCAGAGCAATTAAGGAGGGAAGTGGGAAGGACGGCTGGAAGCCAGCAAAGAGTTTTATACAGGAGAAGAAAGCAGCAATGGTTAAAAGCTGAGGGCAGCGCAGAGCGGAAGGGAAGCAGCAGCGCCTGAGTGTGTGTAAGAGCATCTGCGCAGCTCCACATACAAAAAAAAAAAAAAAAAAAAAAAAAAAAAAAAAAAAAAAAAAAAAAAAGCAGAAGTCGAGGGTAGTGAATTAGCAGTTGGGGACTGAGAAAATCCATACAGGAAGCAAAACAAAAGAGAAATCTCAGGCCACTGGGGCTGAGGACGCTGAGAGGGCACTTCTGAGATAGATGAAGTTGATAAAGAAAAGTGCGATCGCCAGGAGCTGGGACAGCCGCCCGCGGGAAGAGAGGCAGGCACCCGGATCCGCCGGCCGCTCCTCCGTTCTCAGGAAAAGAGCCAGAAGGTGCAATTATGCATAAAGCAACGGCAGGAGGAATTAAAAAGCAGATTTCAAGGTAAGATTTTATCATGTCAGCTGCTCCCAGCCACTTCCTTGTGGGGTTTGGGAAGGGCTGATTGGTCGCAGTCACCTGGATCCCGGGCAATGCCCGAAGGAGCTGTGGACTTAAGGCTCAAATCTGATCCGGGGGGGTTGCTGAGGCTGGGGGAGGGCAGCAAGGCTGTGTCCAAACCGGTCCAGGAGTGGCACAGTACCGGCAGGGAGTTTGCATTTCAGTCTTTCCTTCGCTGAAAAATGGATTGGGAATGGATGGGGTGAACAACTTGGGGTTTATTTAAAGCATGACTGAGGATGGACCCCACGGGAGGTGACACACAGTTGTTCACAAGCAGCTCAGTGTGTCTCAGCCCACTCTCCAAGGGCAAATTCCTGCAGCTTCCACCTTCCCAACAGCCACAAATCCATTGTGCGGTGTCTGTAAAATCCCAGCTGCCACATCCCTGGGCTTCCTTGGCTTGGTGTGCTGGGTGGGCACCACCACGGGCACCACCACGGCTGCTCTGCCGTGACTTTTGCCTGCCCAGTGTGAGTAACCCCTGCGTGGAGATCTGCCCCTCTGTCCCTGGCACTGCTGCCATTCCAGACTAGGCTTCGTAGGAGCTCTTGGCACACCCAATAACACGAGTGGGGGATGTCAATGGGCCAGACGTGACGGTACAGACCACAGTCCAGCCCTTCAGTGGAAAAAGGTGCAGTGGAAGTTTATTTTCCCTCCATTTCCCATGGCAGAGTGGGTGGCTGTGCTCTGCCGTGGGGCCCCTGCTCCCCTGGGAAGAGGTGGCACCAGGATGGCACCAGGATGGCTGAGCCTGACCCGTGTCCACCCACACCAGTCCCCAGTCCTGCTTGGGACCAAGGGGCACTGTGACCGCTCTGTCACGGCTGAAGCCCTCGCCCACGGTGTGGGACAACTGTGGGCCCTGTGTCTCGATCTGCTCTGGCTGGACGTGGGCAGCAGCCTGCGGTGCTTTTCACCACAGGATAATTTGGAAAATTACGAGAAATGATGTTTGAGACGGCATCTGGCCCACTGCTGCCACCGCAGAGGTCCCTTGGGTCCCAGCCCACGGAGCTGGGGGAAGACGTGGCCAAGCAGGAACAGGAAAGGGGGGTGTTTTCCTCCCGAGCCTCCAAGAGCCCCACGCTCAGGCTCCCTCCCGATTCCCGGGAGGGGGCTGGGGCGGACGCCCCCAAATCCACGAAGAAAACATTCTAAAAGTCAAAAAAACTAAATACATACAGGTAAAAATTAAAAATAAATCCACCCCGGGACCGCGGCGGCCGGGCTGTTTGTGCCGCTGGGCTCCGCGGGCGCGGATGCGATAAGATAAAGGCAGGAGCGGGGAGGGGCAGCGCGGAGCTGCGCGGAGCCGGGCGCACCCGCGGAGCCGCCGGTGGGGCCGGGTGGACGGACGGACGGACGGACGGACAGACACGCACACACAGACACACACATATACACACACAGGGTCAGTCACACGAGCGGACGGACGGACGGACGGGGCGGCCTCTCCGCTCCGCCCCCGCGCAGCCTCCGCCCCCGGCCGCGCCGCTCCGCTTTACATAACCCGTCCGGGGCCGGGGTCCGCGCCCCGCGCCTCCGCCCGGCGGAAATGCGGAGCCGCCTGCCCCGGTTTCCTGCCTGAGCCCAGTCGAGCCGAGCCGAGCCGTGCTGAGCCGTGCGCCCCGTCCCGCCCGCCCCGTCCCGGGCGCTGCGCCGCTCCATCATGGGCGAGCGGCAGCCGGACGCCTTCTCCTGCAGGTAACCGCGAGTACGCGGCGGTACCGGGACGGGTTGGGCTGGGCTGGGCTGGGCTGGACCGGGACGGGCTGGGCTGGGCTGGACCGGGACGGGCGGCCCCGGGAAGAGACCGCTGCAAAGCGAAAGTAGCGGCGGGAGGAAGCAGCGAGGCGGCCGCTGCTCTTGTGCAGCTCCCGGAGCTCCCCCGAGAGCCCCCGGCTGGATTCTCTCACCCGGGAAACTCCGGTGGCCCCGTTCTGGAGTTGTGAGCTCCTTCCTCTGCCAGCCCCTTCCCCCAGACCCCCTTTCTGTGCCTTATCCCTGCCCTTTCCTTGGGCTGCCTCTTTCCAGAGACTGCTCACTTTTGGGGACCCGTAGTTTTTCTTAGCTCCGGTTTTCCCCGTGGGCACTCCCTGTTCCAGAGGCTCTGTTCCTGTGTGGGTGCTCCCGTCCTGGGGACCTCCATCCTTCTAGCACCTCTTCTTCTGGGGTGCCTCGACGTCCCCCATTTCCCAGCATCCGTATTTTGGAGATCCCAGGCAGAGAACCACCTCTGCCTCTCCTCGGACCCCTGCAGCTCCTGCCATGGGGGTGACCCCTCTGGGAGGGTTCAGGTCCCGTGGGGTGATGCCCTCCTGCCCCATGTTATGGGGTCCTGCACTGCCAAGGGGGCCATGCCTTGCCTCTGCCCCTATGCCCACTGCGAGTGCCAAGCAGAGGTGCCACCTGGAGCCCGCCAAGCAGCTCCTCTGACTCTCTGTTCCCTGCAGACTTTGTTGGCTCTGTGACTTGGCAGAAGCTCGGAGCACGAGGCTGATGCACCAGCGGTCAGCATCCCCACGGCCTTGCCATGCCCTGCCAGCATGCACAGTCCTGCCTGTGCCAAATGCCATCAGGGTCACTCACAAGAGAGCCTGGACCCCGCTGGCTCACGGCAGTGACACGGCCATTGCAGCCCGGGCTGGGATTTACTGTCAAGGAAACCGGGATGAGTTGTTGAGCTGCGATTTCGATATCGTTGTAAATTGATTCAAGATGTGCTGAAGTTGTGGGCTGGTGGCCTAGGGACTTTCTGGGGCTGCAGCCAGAGGAAGAGGTGGCCTGTGCAGGGACCTGGTGCTGCCAGCTCCTGCACGTCCTCTCTGCACTTGGATTTGCTGGCAGGAAACGGGATTGGGGGGTTGAAAGGCCTATGGAATTAGTGGCAGGTTTCACTTTGACTTGTTTGGGAATAGAACAATGCTTTGGATTTCTTTTTAACTTGTTATTGGGGCAGGAGAGACTAATCCCCGTGCATTCTTCCCTCCCTAAAGCTTCTTCTATTTTCTCTTTTACTTTTATGTACTTAGTGCCTCCGGTAAGATCTGGTTTGATTTCACCAGAGCCCACAGGGCTGCGGGTCTGCCAGCACCCTGTGTTATGTTGGAGAGCTTGGGGTGCGAGTGCCAGTGGCTTTTGAGGGATCTTCCATCCTCCACCAGAGCAAATCCTCCCCACCCACACGCCCATGGGGCTGATGGACACCATGAAAGTGTCGGGACAAATCCCAGTGGGTGACACAAAGTGAAAGTGCAAACGCTCATCGCTGGTGGGGTTTGTGGTGCTGGCGGCGCTGCCGCGGCTTGGCAAGGAAAAAAGGTGCCAAATCCAGCAATCCCTGGGGGGCTGCTGTGAAGAGCCTGGAGAGCCAGGCTGGCTGGGAGCTGAGCTGCTCCCTGCTGTCCCCAGGGACCCCCGGGCAGCTGCTCCCCCGGGAGTTTCTCCCACGCCTACACCGCAGCGATTCATTTCATGCAACAAAACAAGCCCTGTCGAAAGAGGCCACCCTGCTGTCGGGCTTTTCCCCGCAGGCAGTGGGTGTAGGAGAGTGTGATGGTGTAAACCAGGCTGCAAGGTGCCAGACGCCACGGTATGGAGGCAGGCTGAGGGTTTTTGGGGAGCTGGGCTGGCCACTGCTGTTTGTGCTGTGGGCTGAGCCAGCGTGGAGCTTGGATTTGACCTGAGATGAGTTTGGGTTTTCTCCATCCTTTCTGTCCTGTTGCAGTGGTCAGGGAAAGCCGAACAGGTGAACTTCCCTCGGATTTGAAGTGCTGGAACATCACCCACATCCCCAGAGGTCTGTGGTGCTGCTCAGCCCACACAGAGCTGTAAATTAAGGCCAGTTTGGGTCTTTAATATAAAAAGTTTTGTAGTGCCGGGAGGTGAAATGAGAGGAGTATGTCCTGTGAGAAAGGGGGAGAAGGAGAGCAAAATCTGCCTTCCCACATTGGCTTTTAAACTGATTTCCTACAGCCTGTATGCACGTGTGGATTGGGAGATCTCTCTGTCCTGCTCCTTTCTTGCTTTTTAGCTTGCTGGTTTACTTCATCCAAAAGAGAGGGAATCTTCTGAGACCCTGTGGGATTCTCCAGCTTGTGTGGAAACAGCTAGAGGATCACAGGGAGCCATGGTGCTGTGCCATCACCCTCTGTGAGACCCAAAGAATCCTCACCATCACAGGGAGCTGCTCCAGAGGGAAGAGGAGGACAGTGCTGGGCAGTTTCTGCTGTGGGTTCTGCTGGCACTGTTTTATAACGATGCTGTAAATATGTGGGTGTATCCCACATCCCGAGGCTGCAGCCGGACCCTTTCCCCACCTCTCCCCCTGCACCAACTCCTCCTGTCTTCCCAAGTGGCAGCATCTCCATGTCCAGCCCCAAATGGCTGCAGCACCGTGCTTGTCCCCATCAATCCAGGGGTGCATCCAGATGTTCTTCCAGCTCCTGTCATCTCCGAGGGATCGGGATGCAGAGAGAGGCTGCACCATCCCCATCCTGGGGGGATGCTCTGCATCACCTGTGGCTGGCTGGATCCCCCGGGGATCTGCATCCCCCTGAGCCCCCCCCAGGGACCTGCATCCCCCCCAAACCCGCAGTGCCAGATGCTGTTCCATTGAAAAGTGCCGTTCATTGTAACCTGGCCTTTTATAGCTGCCTCAGAGCGGCTGCGGGGCCATGCCAAGAAAGGCTGCAGCCGGCTCAGAATAGCTCTTTTCATGGAGGACATCCTGGGAAGGAACAATGTTCCCGCTCTTGGGATTGTGGGAACTTTGTATTTCTGCCACTCAGGAAGCGGGGAGCTGCGGGGCCGGCCAGGGCGTCTCCCAGCCCCTCGCTTCACCCTCTCCTGAAAATAGTCCTTGGGATGAGTTTTGAATAGTCCTGTGCTTATAAAGGGAGCTGCAAATGCCTCCGGACGCTTCTCCTCCGGTTGGGAACTGTTATTTCTGGGAAAGCCGGAGCATCAATCACGTTTCCTATTCGCGTCACTGGCGTGCATTTTCCTGGCTTGGAACTGGCGGCGAGTGGGGCCGGTTTCATTTTCGGGTGCTGGTGCTGCACATGCACAGCGTGTGAGCAGGGCTGGGCACAGGGCACCAGGCACGGCCACGTGGGCTCTGCTCCCTCACACTTTCCCTCGAGGCTGGATTTGTGGTGCTGGGTGCTGGAGGGTGACTTTCCCGTGTGGCCACAGCCCCTGCATGGCTGTTCTGTGGTGGGAAGGTGGCGAGTTGGATCTGGCAGCTCCTCCGTGGCGAGGCCAGCTGGCTCTGAATGCTCATCCTCCGGGAGCGGGTGGCAGGATTGTGGCGCTGGCTCCCAGCACTGCCCTGGCACTGCTTGGTGCTGCCAGCTCCTCTGTCTGCAATTAAACAACAAATACATTTACTGGGACAAATAATCCATTGCCGGAATCCAGACACGGATTCGCATCCTGGTCAGTGCTGGCACCGCCACTGCAACAACGTTCAGGTTGGGCAAGAGTTTAAGGGAAGCTCCTGGGGGTGGCTGGGCTGCAGGGCTGGATCCTGCACAAGCCCCAACTCGCTGTCCCAGCCCACATCAAAGCCACCACGGCCGGTCCATCCCGTCCCGCTCTTCCTCGAGTTCCTGGCTCAGCACCCCAAAACAATCCCAGCACCCCAAAACAACCTCAGCACCCACAAAGAGCCCCGAGGTGGGGTGGGCTTGGTGATGTACAGCTCTTCCAGCAGCCTGCAGGGGTGGAAGCCCCCCATCCCAACTAGTCCATGGTGTGTCCAAGGATGGGCTGGATTCTCCATTCAGAGCAAATTAAAGCCATCAAAAGTACTTCATGCGACCTGCAGGATGGCCACGAGCTCCTCACGGGAACATATGAGGAATAAAATGCAAATTCTGCCTTAAAGCCACAGGCTGCTGGATTCCAGCTTCCTGAAGCACAATGGGCTGGAGCAGGGAGACGCTCACCCGGCAGCAGGAACTCGCATCCCTGTGGATGTTGCTGCTGAAACCTGAGGCTGAGCAGGAGGAGCGGGATACTGCTGTGGTAACTCCAGCATGGATTCATCCAGGATAGCTCTTTCCATGTGGGAAGTTTGCCAGGCAGCAGCAGTGAGGTCGGCACGGTGCCAGTGCAGGGAGGAGGAAGCGCTGGGGAGTATTTCCCATCGTCGGGTTGGAAAAGCACGTTGCTACTGGAGACGGCCTTCGGCTGCTTCCCACCGCGTGGCACAGACGAAGCCCGGCTTTTCCGGCGCCACAAACCTCTCCCGAAGCTGGCGCGAAGCGAGCCTGAAATCTTGAAAGGTGAATTCCCTGCCCTGGGAATCTCCCACCTGCCTGAGGAGCCGTTCGCACGGGTGCCTCGCTTCCCTCCGCATTTTGCGGGAGCATCCCGCGGAGCGTGCCGGCGGCGTGGGCGGTGCGGAGGCGATTCCCGGGTGCCGGGAGGAAGCGGGAGCGCGGCGGAGGATGCTGAGTCACGGGCAGGCTGGCGGCGCTGATAGACGGGGCCCTGCCGGGGGATTCGGCCGGGCTGCGGCGGGCGCATGCCCTGCACTGCCGGCACGCCGCACGGCCCCGAGCTTTGGGTGGCTCTTCTGAGAAGCCGGGCCCGGCGAGGCTGGCGGGGGGCTGATAAAATCTCCCCTCGCCTGCAACCTTCGCGGGACGTGCTCGGCAGGGCAGCGGGTGGGCAGAGATAGAGCCCCGCTCCCCGGCGTTATCGCCGCCCCGGCTGCAAACACGATCCCTTGTGCCCGCACGTTCCTCATCACCCGCTCGCTTCCTCCTGGCCCCTCAGGATTTTTGTTGTTTTGGGGGTTTTTTAAAATTTTTCCTCCCCTTGACAAATGCAATCTGCTTTTCCTCCCCTCCCAGCGGCCGGGGTGCTGCTGCTGGAGTTTCGGGGAGGCGGCGGTGCCCGTGCCGGCGCGGCAGGATCCGGGTGGGTTGGCCGATGTTTCCTTCCTGAGCGGAGTGCGCGGCCCCGATAAGTGCCCCGGAGAACACGAGGTTCGCTGGTGAGCAGCGGGGCCGGCCCTGGGGAGCGCCACTGCCGGCTCAGCCGGGCACGCCGGGCCGGCTGCACGCCAGCCACGGTGCCGCCAGATTGGCCTGGCAGAAAAATCTGCCGGGGGCAGAGATACGGTGTGGTTTGCCAGAGCCCGGCAGCATCCCGGTCCCGCAGGCAGCAGAGCTCACCCCGGGCACTGCCGGCGGCATAGCCGCCTCTCCCCAGGCCGCTGAGGCCGGGAGGATCTGGCAGCGAAGCATCTCCATCCCTGGATTTCTGCAGCTTTTCATGTTGTTTCCTCCCCTCCCACCCCCATTCCAGTTTTATCAGCTTCGCTGAAATCGGTCCCTGGAGGGAAACCCATCGGAGCTGCGGAGCCTTGGCAGGAGCCGAGCGGATGTGGCCGGGCCAGGCGTCCCCGCGGGCGGCGGGCAGCTGCAGGCAGCTGTGCTGGCAGGAAGCCGCGCAGACGCCCCTGGCCGGGACCTGCCCGCTCCCCACCGCGCAGGTGGGGAAACTGAGGCACGGCCCTGCCAGGTGGGGATGGGCGCTGCGGCGTGATTAGGAGCTCAGGGTCCCACGTGGCCACTGCTGGTGGCCACTGGTGGCCGCAGTATTGGTCACATGGCCATGCTGCTCACTGGGAAGGGATTGTCCCCTGGACATTTCCAGTGCGTCCATGGGAATGAGGCCGCTTTGTGCTCATTGAGCACAGCGTTCCCTGTGGATACAGAGCGGGGTACGGCCACGCCAGCCAGGGGTTGCCGGGGCGGGGGACACACGGGGACCCTGGGGCTGCCCTCACCACCCGTGTGCTCTGTCTTGCAGCGCGGCCGCCTCGCTGGAGCCTCGGCAATGAATGGGCACTCGCTGCCGGCCGGCACGCCAGCGCATCCCCGGGGCTGGCATGAGTTCTGCGAGCTGCACGCCATCAGCACCGCCAAGGAGCTGGCGCGGCACTACCTGCGCTTCGCCACCGAGCACCCGCACCATGACCTCCTGGCCGCAGAGAACTTCTCGGTGCAGTTCACCGACCTCTTCCAGCAGTATTTCTGCCACGAGGTGAAGGAGGGCATCGCCATGAGCCAGCTCCGCATCCTGCCCGCCGGCCCGGCGCGGGATTACCGGGACACGCACCGGCGGCACACCGACGCTTCCCTGGGCACGGTGGCCACCAAAGCCGAGGCGGAGCCCAGTGCCCGCCCCGAGCAGCCCGTCCGAGCCCCCGAGGCTACTCCCTCTGGGCTGCGCAAGTCCTGGAGCTCGGAGGAGCTGGCGGGGCCGGCGCGGAGACCCTTCTCGCTCAGCCAGCTGCGCAGGAGCTGGCGCAGCCTCTTCCGACGGCGCTCCTCGGATGCGCTCCCCGGGGATGGCGATGGGGACACAGCGGCGGAGGCGGCTCTGAAGCCGGGACTGGGAAAACGCATCCTGCCGTGGGGGCTGTCGCGGGAGCAGCCCCCGGAGGTGCGCAGGGAGGGGCTCCTCAAGTACGGGCTGCTGGATGAGAATTCCCTGGACAGCGGGACGCGCTGGCAGCGCTGCCGCCTGGTGCTGCGGAGAGCGGGGCCGCCCGACGCCGAGGAATTTGTGCTGGAGCTCTTCGACCCGCCCAAGGTAAGGACCTGCTGGCTTTTACCTGTTCCAGCCAGCGGTGCTGTGAGGTTCCCTCGGCTGGGGATGATGCCTGGATGTCAGAGCACCCCACAGGGAGGAGCAGGGCCATGGTGTATCCAGCACCACGTGGGGCCCGGATGGGTTTGCTCTGCCGCTGTTCTCCCTCTGCTGCAGCCACGTGAGGCTGGGCCTTGTTTGTTTAATAGCCTTGAGAAAGAGACAAAGCCACCCCTGCAGGGTCGTGTTTGGGGAGTGAGAGATGCTGAGACCGAGGTTTGCTAATTGCTGCAGTCGGTCAGTCTGTCATTGCATTTCTCCCTGCTGGGGCTCCAGCTGGAAACAGAGCACCTGTCTTCTGAACTGAGGATAGAGGCTGATGGTCTCCATCCCACTCATCCCAGCCTCACAGACCCATTCCACCAAGGTGAGGGGCAACCCAGCCTGATGAACCCCAAATTCACCCTGTCCCCTGTGCTGTGGCTTTAGCAACCTGAGCATCTGCTCGTCTAGGCAAGATGGGAGAGGAAAAGGAAAACAGGAATTCGGCTCTGTGCCTTTCTCTGCTCCCTGTGGGACCCATAGTTTTAGTTTTTGTAAGGAGTTCTGTGACTGGAAGTTCAGCTCTTGGCTGCTGCAGGGAGCTCCTGTGGTGCTGGGACATGGCTGGAGCAGAGACGATGCAGGATGTGAGGGAGTGGGGAGTGATGTGGGGGGAGCTGGGTGTTTAATCTGTAAAAAGATGGTTCCTCCACATGGCAGGACTTGACTTGCACAGGCATGATGGGTTTTGTTCTGGTTTAACTTTGATGACAAACTTGTGCTCTGGAAGGAGGAAACCTCCGGTAGAGCTGGAGCCTTGTCCCTGCCTGCAGGGCAGCAGGGTCAGGGAGCAGCTGGCTGAATTCCTGCTATTTCCGTCAAACGGCTCCAATATTAAATATTTGAAAAAAGAAACAACATCAAAATTGTAACATCTGAAAGTAAAAGCTGGTTTTGCTCTGTCATGTCAAGGGTTGCAGTTGTTTGTCCCCGTGGGAGTGTGTGTCCCCATCCCGGGGCACAGGGAGGTCAGAGGCGCTCTGGGGCACTTGGAGTGTGCTCCAGCAGCTGGATAGCACTGGCTTTTTCCCTCCCTCACACCTTTTCTCCCCCTTTTTACCCTTTCCCCCTTTTTCTTTTTAATCCCTTTTTAAAAATAATTTTTTCTTTTTTCTTCCCCCTTTTTCTTTTTTCTTCCCTCTTTTTCTTTTTTTCTTCCTCCTTTTTATTTTTTCACTTCCCCTTTTCTTTTTTCAATTCCCCCCTTTTTTTCACTGCCCCTATCTTTTTTCTCCCTATTCCCCACCCCCCCTTTTTTTTTTTTTCCTTTCCTCCCTTTTCTTTTATTTGTTTCCCTCCCCCTTGGGAAGCAAGCCCAGCACATTCTTCCTCTCCCCACATTCCCTGCCCAGCTTTGACCCAGGGGCGGGAGACACTTCAAACAAGACCCTGACCAAGTTCCTCCAGTGCTCTGAGCTTTATTCCTTGCAGTCTCCATGGGATGGAGATTTCCTGGTGCTCCACATCACCACGAGGCCGGAGACCCCACAGTCCCTGGAGCCCCGAGCAGGGGGATTCTCAGCCAGGCCTGCGGAAGTGGGGGATGTTCCTTGCTGGATTTTGCAAGTCTCTGGATTAAATTGCTTCCTGTGCAAATATTCTCAGGGCGGCTCCTTCCTTTCCAATTCTCTGGGCTGGGGCCAGCTCCTGTCTCCTTTACAGCACAATCAATCCAGATCCTTTCCCAGTAACTGCGGTTGAATTCCGGGGGCGGTGGAAAATCCCCCGCGGTGCTGGTGGCTCCCACTCCCCCAAACCCAGCACGGGGGCAAACCACAGAGCAGTGAGAACAGAACAGATTGTTGGGATGTTATTTTCCTTTAAAATAACTAAATACCACTCAACAACCCCCTGGGAATGGCTGTGAGGAGCCCCCTCCCCTCCATCCTCCTGCCCCAGATGCTCCCAAGGATTTGCCACTGCCTTTTCCCCATCTCGTGGGTCTGTTTCTGATTTGAGGATGCTGTTGATCGCCATAGAAAATTGGTGGTTTTAAATAAGCAACTGTAAAACCAGTTCTTTGAATTTTTCAACCCAAACTGATCTCTGCACTCTGAGGTTGGTCACCCCCAGGGTCTGTCTGCAAGCACTCTTCGTCCTCTTCCTTCCCCCCTTCCTCCTCTTCCTTCCCCCTTCCTCTCTTCCTCCTTTCCACCCTGTAAGTAATAGGATGCAATTGAAGTTTCATCTCAGCCTCAGGGCTTTACAGCATCAAGCCAAGCCCCCAAATATCCATCCCCTTGGAATGACCTTGGAGAAGGCAGGTGTGTGGAGAAAGGAGGGGGGGGGGTCCTGCTGCTTTTGGCAGCTTTTATCTAATTTTTCTCCCTTTCTCCTGGTGCTCCAATGAGGCCTCTGAGCTTAATCCCATAACGTGCCCAGCATCAAAGGGAGTGGGGGCTTTGAAGAGCCCTGATCCCATTTACTGCTTGGGTGGCTGTGCTGGGTGAAGGGGTCAGGGAGCTGTGCTGGAGAACCCAGCAAAACCTACAGCACTGCCTGGAGTGGGCATCCCCTGCCCCAGGGTGTGCCAGAGGAGATGAGGATTTTGGGAGAGGGAGCAGCTCCCCTTCCCCTGCTCACAGCCACAGCTGGCTTGGTTTTGGCATCTCTCCCTCCTCCCTGGAACACTGGGAAAATGATGTTGCAAAGGAGGGATTTGAGGATGATGGGATCTGGAGCTCTCCTGGGAGAGGGTCACTGCCTGGCTGCAGGGCACAGGATTGGGGATCAGTCCCACCCTGGGGACATTCCAGAGGGTGCTGGGGTGTGAGGAGGGCAGAGTGAGGTGTGGAAGAGGAGCTGGAATGGAGAGATATTGGGATACCTGTAGTGCTTGTATATATGGCTGTACTTATATCTGTGCCACAGGAAAACCTGGGCACGGAATTGCAGCCCAGGTGGATTCTCTGGTGTCTGTTATGAGCGTGATGCTTCCCAGTCTTCCCTGATTTCCTTAGAGGCATTAAAGGCTTTCTCCTCTCCATTTAATCCTCACACCATTTAATCCCATATAACCTTTAGGATTGGGTACCTCTGAGGTCTCTCCACCTTCATCAATTTAAACTAAAGCTGGCAAGCCCAGATTTGTCAGCTTTGGGGCTGCCTCGTTCCTCAGCTGAGCCCCAGCCCCAAATACCTCTCACATGGCCAAATCCCAAACTCCGTGAAAACCGTGATTCTCAGCGGAAATGTCCCGAGCCATTTCTGTTGACCAGATGTTTTTACAGGAAGGGGAAGGGAAATGGGATTTGCATTTGTGCTGCTTTCTTTATAGTGTTTTAATGAAATCCAGTGCATCCCCTAAATTGATGGCACGCCGGGACTAGCCGGGAAGACTCCTTCCGGAGAAAGCCCTTGGAGCCTCTGCCACAGCTCAAACATCTTTGCTGTAGCCACAGGAGGAGCAGTATTTTTATCTCTGCTCAGTGTGAGGCTGCTTTGACTTCCTTTTTTCTCTCTTTTTTTTTTTTTCCTCTTTTTTTTTTTTAATTTTTTTTTCTTTTTTTACCCCTTTCACCTGAATTTGGTTTCTGAGAACTGCTACCTTCTGAGCCAGCAGGTTCCTGTCCCCGATTTTTGGTGCTTAGGGCTGTGAGTGGCAGCTGGTCAGGCATGGGATGGGGCACATCCCAGTGGTTTGGTCCCTGTTCCCTATCCCTGCTCCTCCTGGAGCTGCTCTTGGCATGAGTGACTCAGCCAAGGAAGGGCAGTGGTGGAGGGGGAGTTTTCCTCCCTGGAACACCGTGAGAGGAGTTTTGCCAGTGATGGGAAGCACCTCAGTGTCCCATCATCCCATCCCTGGTCCAGGAAAGCACATGTTTGTGTCAGTCTGGATCCCCAGGGATCACATCCCACTCCTGGCATCCTTTTCCTGGCATTCCTGGGGACTTCATCCCTCTCTTGGTATCCTTTTCCTGGCGTCTCCAGGGGCTGCATCCCACTCATGGCATTCTTCTCCTGGCATTCCCAGGGACTGCATCACTCTCTCGGCATCTCCAGGGGCTGCATCCTGTCCCGATGCAGCTGAAGATGTCCCTGCTCATTGCAGGGGGTTGGACTCGTTGGCTTTTCAAGATCCTTTCCAACCCAAACTGTTCTGTGCTTCTATGATCCCTCTCCAAACATCCTGCTCCCAGCATCCCTCTCCTGGCATTCCCGGGGACTGCATCCCTTTTTTGGCATTTCCAGGGGCTGCATCCTGATCTGGTTGGTGTCCCTGCGTATTGCAGAGGGGTTGGACTGGGTGGCCTTTGAAGGTCCCTTCCAACCCATGTTATTCTGCGATTCTGTGATCCTGCTCCCAGCATCCTCAAGGATCGCATCCCTCTGGACCACACAGCCAGGAGCTGGGAAAACTGCTGTGATGACAAGCCAGAGGGGCTTGGGTGTCCTGCAAATCTTAGGAGAGGCAAAACCTCCCCTGAAGGCACTCGGAGCTGCCCCAAAACCCTCGGGCAGCCTCTCCCGGGGCAGGGCGGGCGCGTCCCTCCCGCTGTGCTCTCTGTTCTTCGAAGGCACCGGGGACTGGGCGGCCTCAGGGTTTTGCGAGATTTTGGTGGTGACTTTTGCTCTCTTCCCCCTCCCCCCCGGCTCTGTTTTTGGGTATCGGGGGGGGGGGGGGAGGGTTGGGAGGGAGGGCGAAGAGACAAAGGTTATTTGTCATTTATTAACCACAACTTTTTCCATCCTTGGTCATGCACGGAAAAAACACTTTTAGCAGCGTAACCACAGCCCCGGCGTTAATTGCTGAAGAGCGGAGTTTCTTATTTTGGAAACTGTTGCTGGGATGGGGCTTGCCGGGGCCTGGGTGTGAGGGGAAGGGTGCAGGATGGACCCCAACCTCTGCTCCATTGAACTCTGGGGTTTTGGGCTCGGAAAGATTCCATTCTTTTAACCCC